GATCCACTATTCTGCTGTAGCACACCGCCCAGCCCCGGTCTGCATCACTGCTGCTAGGCGCCTATCCCTGTAAAGTCCTTTCCTCCTTCTTCAGCTTAGAATAGTCAATCGACGGCACCTCTACGTTGAACAAGCCTAGGGCCAAGCCCCTTACAATGGGGACGGTAAGCTCGGCATCTGCTATGGCAAGCTTTCGTTCCAGCTACACTGAGCTCAAGCTAGCCCTCCTGGTGGGCATATGCGGCGGAGTTCCCAATCCAGGGACCGAGAAGGAAGTCTTGCTCGGAGACGTCATTATTAGCAAGACGGTGGTTCAATATGATTTTGGCCGGCAGAATCCTCACCGTTTTACGACTAAAGACACTCTCGACGATAGCCTCGGCCGACCCAACAAGGATATTCGCTCACTTCTCGCCTCACTCGAAACGGAACGGACTTTCGAACGCCTTGAGCGACGTACGGCTGAGATCCTTACTGGTATCCAGCAAACCGCCGCACAAGCTGGACGAAAGCGGACTCGGTACCCGTACCCTGGAGCAGCCCAAGATGGACTCTTCAGTCCGAACTATGAGCATAGACACCGAGATGACGCCGACTGTGGCTGCGACCATACATGGATTTGCGACACAGCGCCGGATGCTTCGTGCATTGAGCTTGAATGCGACAAAACTCACCTCGTGCTCAGGGAGAGTCTCGAAATCAAAAAGCAACTAGAGCGCGAGGGCAATACTGCAGAGGCCCAAGAGCCGCACATTCTCATTGGGAGAGTCGGATCGGGTAATGCCGTGATGAAGTCGGGCGCGCATCGCGACGAAATTGCTCAGAGATACAACCTCATTGCCTTCGAGATGGAGGCCGCCCGAGCTTGGGACGAGGTGCCATGCGTCGTCGTAAAGGGGGTTTGCGACTATGCCGACAGCCACAAGAACAAGAAATGGCAGGCGTTCGCGGCTGCTACAGCGGCCTCCTCAATGAAGGCTCTGCTCGAGTTGTACATCCAAACTGATTCGCCGGGGAACTCCAGAGTTGAGTGTATGTAAATAATTCATGGCACAGACTTTAGGTAAGGCTAATAAGATTCAGTTACGACGCAGCGTATCAACGAGATTTTGACTTGGATCTCGAAAGAACCCATACGAACAGCATCACAAACAAAACAGGAGTGAGGTTTTCGAAGGAACGGGAAAGTGGCTTCTTGACCATGAAACATTTCAGTCATGGAAGAACTCTGAGGCATCGTCCATCTTGTGGCTGCACGGCATTCCAGGCTCCAGCAAGAGCAAGCTCGCGTACGTTCAGGCAAATGACAACAACCCCGCTATCGAGAAAAAAGGATTTCTATTCTAACGTTATAAACACAGGTCAATCGTTGTTGAGAGTGCTTTAAAATCTTCTCCGACAGCGACGGTGTACTTCTACTGCTCCCGAAATCCAGCGGAGCCCGGGCGCTCTGATCCTACCAGCATATTAGCTAGCATTGCGAGACAACTTGCGATGCCCCAACCTGGCGGGGAGATTCTTGATGCCGCAGTTGAGGCATACAAAAAGTTCGAAGAAAATGCCTTTGCCTCTAAGTCTATGACACTTGCCCAAAGCCGAGAGCTCATTCAAAAACTGCTGGAAAGCTATCGAGGCCAGCCAATCACACTTGTTATCGACGCCCTGGATGAGTGTGACAAGGACACCCGACAAAATCTTCTGGATGCGCTCGTGTCTTTGCTCGAAGCACCGACTACCTTAAAGGTCTTTGCCACCAGTCGCGATGACTGGGACATCGTGAAAGAGCTGGACAAGTATCAAAACCTGTACCTGTCATCAGACCGCAACTCCGGGGATATCAACCTGTTTGTGCGATCGGAAACCGAACGTCTTGTCGAAAGAGGCTCTCTGTTGTGGGGAAGTACAAGAAAGGAGGAACTTCGCGACAAGATTATACACGAGCTAATTTCCAATGCCCATGGAATGTAAGTCGTGACTATGTCCAGTTCATCGCTTAGCCATGAGACTTACAAGAAGGTTTTAGGTTCCGCTGGGCGAGCCTACACATACAAGAACTTTGCCGCCAGGCCACCGACGCCGCCATCGAGGAACGGCTCGTCAAGATGCCCCGAACATTGGAAGGGCTTTACAGAGAGATTTTGGCAAAGTCGAAAATTCTGATACCGTTGCAGACAGAGAAACAGCTAGGAACACCCTCAGGTGGCTGCTATGTGCCCAACAACAGCTCACAGCAGACGTGTTCCTGGCCATGGTGTCTAGAACGAAGCAGGGATCTGCCTCCAGTATCTCAAAGAATCAGCTTCTAATGTTGTGCAACGATCTGGTCCTTTTCGACGAGGGCTTGGGAATATTTCGCTTCTCTCACTTATCGGTCAGAGAGTTTCTCGAGGGGCAAGACGCATATCGGATGACGTCTGCACACGCACTTGCTGCTGAGCAATGTATCCTCAACCTTGCTGAAATCCCCTCTGACATAATGACCATGTCACCAGTCCTGTAATACTCAATCTTTTGTTGGGTAGACCACGCAAAGCACGCTGATCATGAGGAACGGCAATTAAAGTTATTTCAGACCTTGAACGACTTCTTCTCCGGGGACCAGGATCCTTGCTCGTCATTCTCTCGTTGGTATGACATGATTGCGTGTAAAGACAGGAACATCAAATATTCTCTCGAATCCAAACTCGAGAGATTCGAAGATGTTTTGTCTTACCCACCGTCTGTTGTGCTGGTCATTTGCAAGTTCGACTTATCGGGGGTTCTCAGTCAAGAACGTTGGAGAGCCCTTGTCCGAGCTCGGCCAAGGAGCTTAGAGGGTGCCACACACAAAGAGCTTGCGATACGTTACGGCAGTGTTCGAGTTATCCAGTGGAATCTCGAGACTGGGACTCCCTTTGAATTAAGCGCAAAGGACGTAGAGATTGCGGCTGAAAGTAAACCTGATGGTGTGCGCATGATACTGTTCCTTCTGGGGTTTCAGGGAGATGTTTCAATCACGGAAGACGTTCTCAAGTCTGCAGCTTCAAACAAAGAATGCGGTGACACAATCCTAGAGCATCTCGTATCGAAACGAGGTTCAGAAATCACTATCACTGAGGCCATCGTCAAGGCTGCAATTCAGAATACTCGCAAAGCGGTTAGCATTCTCTCGCTACTCTTCGAAAACTTCAATAGCGAAATCCGGATCACTGGAGACATTGTCGTGGCTGCCATTCACAGCTCAACCGAAGAAATATTAGAGCTACTGCTAGATGCACGGGGAGACGAGGTCGAAATCTCCGCAGATGTGATCTTAACTGCAGCTCGAGACCACGAAGGCATCTACTCTTTGCGGGGCTGCTTCAAACCTGTCTTATCATTCCTTCTCGGGGTGCGAAGGGACCAGATTCACATCACTGAAGATTTCATAATATCTATTGCTCCGAACGAAGCTTGCGATGAAGAAGTCATGGAAATACTTCTCAACGAGTGTGAAGACAACTTGCAGGTCACTGGAAAGCTCATCAACGCCGTCAGAGAAAACGTGGATGATGGGGACAAACTGATGACGCTACTGCTCGACAGATTTGAGATCAAGATGGAAAGCCTTGACGAATCGATGGAAATTCTCGTGCACGAGTTCAGTGATGTCACAGTACGCAGATTCATTGACAAATGTGGTGATGCGATAAAGTTCAACGACAACATTTTGAGGGCTGCTGTGGGCAATTCGATATACTGCCACGAGGTCATGTCCCTGCTTCTGAACAAGTATGGAGACAGATAAAGATTACTCCAGAAATCATTGAGGAATTACTGGAAAAGGACTGCCTTGGTTTCGTGGCATTTGAGCTTTTGCTCGACGAACGTGGGCACGAGATCTCAATTACCGACGAGTTGGTAAGAAAGGCGGTTCAAGCGCAGGCGCCAGACTACATAGAGGTTCTCTTTGATAAGCGCGGGGATGAAATCCAGATTACGGACGATATCATGAAGTCATGCTCTCGTGCCGAGACCATAATGACGATCTTGAAAAAGCGAGGGGGGCATGGCATTCAGATCACGGAAAACGTTCTCATACAAGCCGCTAAACAACCGAACGGAATATACGGAAAGGACGGCGGGTTGCTGCAGTTTCTACTCGATGAGCGACTGGAAGAGGTTCGACTCACTGAAGATTTTGTTAGTGCTGCGGCTGGCAATGGCAGCTATGGCTTCCAATTCATCACCTTGCTCAATGAAAGATGTGGAGACGACTTATTCATCACGAACAAAATTCTCCGAGCGGCAGCTTCGAATCAGCACACTGGCGACCAAGTAATAGCGGCACTGCTAGATTGGCATGGGGGTAGCATTCGAATCACGGAGAGTGTTGTTGAAGCGGCGGTCCAGAGCCGAGGTGTTGGCCACAAAGTCTTGGCAGTGCTTTTCGCAGCGCGAGGCGACAGCATCCCAATAACCGAACAGGTCCTCATACTCGCTGTCCAGAATGAGTTCTGTGGCGATAAAATCATTGAAACGATTATGCACAGCCGTGGGGACAGCGTTGAGATCACCGAGGAGATTATTAGCGCTGCCGTTCAAAACACTTATTCTGGCCACAGGGTTCTGAAAATTCTCCTGGATAGGTACGAAGACGATGTCCCTGTCACAGATGATGTCCTTAGGCTTGCGGCTAGTAACGATAGGCGCGGCGACAAGATTGTGGAGATACTTCTCAAGAAGCGTAGACGAGACATCCGGGTCACCAGAGAGATTTTCAAGGCCGCGGCTCATAATCCGAATTGCGGCCACAGAGTAATTGCGACAATACTTGACAACCGCGATGGAGTTGACGATGAGGATGGAGAAGTTTCCGTCGCTCTCCAAAAAGCCATTTACATCGCTTCAAGCAAGGGCATTGGGGATACAGTTCAGGTTCTCCTGAAGAATAAAGCAGACGTCAATGTGGAGGGAGGATGGCTTGGAAATGCTCTCCATGCTGCTTCGTATTCAGGGTTCTCTTGGATTGTCAGGATACTCCTATTGAACAGCGCACAAGTCAACTGTGAAGGAGGCCGGTTTGGTCACGCTCTCCAAGCCGCTTCTGTTGGCGGGCATCTGCAGATTATTCGGACGCTCCTCCAACACAACGCAGAAATCAATGCTCAGGGTGGCCTGTACAACACTGCACTCCAAGCCGCTTCAGCCCATGGCTACGAGGAGATAGTTCAGTTCCTCCTGCAGAGCAACGCAGATGTGAACGCTCAAGGAGGCATATATTCTACTGCTCTCTATGCTGCTTCATTCGAGGGACACTATGGTATTGTCCAAATACTTGTCCAAAATAATGCAGACGTTAATATCCCAGGAGGTGTTTTTGGCAACGCTCTGCAGGCGGCTTCATCTGAAGGCCACCTGAAAATTGCCCAGCTGCTCCTCGAAAACGGCGGGGATCCCAGCTGGGACACCGGCTTTTACGGCAGTTCTCTGCAAGCCGCTTCGGCTGGCGGTCATACCGAACTGGTCTCATTCTTATATGACGAGTACAATGTTGACCTGAACTGCAGCAATGGTTCATTCGCTCGTACAGCCTTGTCGTACGCTGCTAGCGGTGGCAATAGCTCCGTTGTACAGCTACTGCTCACTTATGCGGATGTGAGCCCATTTTCCGAAGATGGTATAAGTCGTACCCCATTATTCTACGCGGCTCAAAACGGGCACGCAGAAATCGTGCGCATTCTGGCAGAGCGAAATCCGTTGGCTGTAGATCGGAAAGATCTGTACGGGTCAACGCCTCTTTCCGTTGCAGCCAGGAGAGGACACATTGTGGTTGCAAAGATTCTCCTGGCTGCATATGCTGTAAATATTGACAGTAGGGACTGTTTCGGCCGGACGCCTCTTTGCTGGGCCAGAAAGCGGGACCTTTACGAAATGGAGCTTCTTCTTGAATCTGCGAAGAGAGGAGACCTGCCACTAGAAGACTTGGGACTAGGGGAGGACAGCATGACCGCAGGAAATCCATCATTGGATTGTGGTATCTGCACCTTGAGCATCAGAGATGATTATGATATCTGTTATCAGTGTTCAGTCTGCAAAGGCGGGGAGTTTTACATTTGTAAAGGATGCTTTGAAGATTGTGTTCACTATCCTGTAGCATCTCATGAGCTAACCCAAAAGCTTCTGGAAGACTTATTTAGATGACCAGCGCCTAGAGCGTATTGAAAGTCACCCATACATTCATTGTCTTGCTACCTATCATCATACCCACCGGAAGAGTAAGATGTTCTGACCGTGCGAAAGCTACTTTCGCAAATCGTAGATGCTATCATGGGGAGTGACGATTCTCTTCGTGTCTAGTTCTAAACGCATGGGACTTGGACTTTTAAGCAATTAACACGAAAAACTGGTAAGATACAGACCCCACACGGACCTTCCAATTGGCCTCAGCGGCATCGTCAACATCCACCGCCAAGATGCCTTCCTGCTCAACGCTTACGTCCTGGCCTCCTTCTAGCACTTGGGTAGCGTTCAGTGACACAACACCAACGGATCCGACGGGAACCACAATGTCATAAGTCAAGACATTGTTGCTAAGCTCCCAGGCGGCGCTGGCTTGTCCAGTGGGCGTTAGATAGCTAGAAGAAGCCGAGGTCAGGTTGGCCTCCAATATGGGTTCGTAGTTGATCAGATTCCATCGAACGGCGTCGGCCGCAGTGTCCAGCCCGCTGAGTCACTGAATCCATATGCCCGGAGCTCCCATCATGAAATGATTAAACGACGAGCCACGGCCGCCATTCCTGGTAGGTAAGGTTAGCTTGAAAGCAAGGAAGCATAATGGCACTATCAGTTCTCACAGAAATTCCCAAAGACTCGTGGCCCCTAGCCCGATTGAATAAGAGTAACTGGCGAGACCTGAGCTGCTAAGACCTGGAGAGGTGAGCATCTTGAAGATAACGTCGCTCCCGCCTCGGCCCTCGAGTACGCGAAGGAGGCTAGGAAGCGCGATCTCGCCGACGGTGGGATAGAAGGTAGTGTTCTCGATCGATGTCAAAAGCGACGCAAACACCAAGTCCTGGTATTCTTCCGGGACAACGCCCGAGTCGAGCGCAAGAGCGTCTGACGCCTGGATATTTCCAGAGTAGTACGCTTGTGAGGTGGTGCCGTTGGTGTCATCAATAAACCATTTGCTGTGCAAAGCTTCACCAATACTGCTTGCCAATTCGTCCCACTTCTGAACCTCCTCGGAGTTGCTCAGCCAGAAGGAAATCTGCTTCATGGCCGTCGCCGCTTGATGATAGCCAAAAGTATTGGTCAACCCGATAGGCACGGTGGGAGTTTTCCCGTCGCCGGCGCCCCAGTCACTCAGTCCAACACCTTCAATTACCGAGTCGGTCGCTCGGCGGCCGAGGTAGTCCATATACGCGACCATGATGTCGTAATTCTCACTCAGAACTCTCGTATCGCCATAGTATCGATATAAGTGCATCACAACTCGCATGATGGCCGAGCCCCAGTTCGGGTCGTCGCGAAACTTGTCCGGAAACACATCGTACTCGGGTGCCGTGGTAGGGATCAACCCTTCCGAGTTGACGCCATACTGAGCTTGCGCGTCAGCAATGGTGTGCATCAGGTTGTAGCCATAGGCCTGGAGGTCGAAGCGTCGGGCGAGTAGGTCGAAGAGCAGATGGTCTTGCTCCAACCAGCCGAGCTTCTCACGGTGAGGGCAGTCAGTCAGCACGCTGTACATGTTGCTCTGGTGGCCTGGTTAGCGCATTTTACAGCGAGGAAGGAGACGTCCTTGAACATACCTTCATCGACCGATCCGTGATCTCATAAAGCTTGTTCAGAAACGAGTTGCTTGTTTGAACAGTGCCAACTTCATCGTTAGTTGCCCGAATAACATAGCCAACCGTATCGGTCAGTTGCGGTGCCCACGTTGTGTTGACCTGGCAGCCAGGGATTAAACGTGGTTCAGGTAAAGTGTTTGTCCAGTTGACAAACCAAACGAGCGGGGACAAACTCACACAAACATGCCGTAACCCGTGATAACGGTAACGAACGCCGTAAGTCTCAGGTTCATTGCCTGCTAGGGTATATCCGTCGAACACCGGGCTCCCAGTATTCGTCTGTGAAGGATTCCCGCCGACAAGCCTCTCTGCAGGCCAGAAGACGATTCGAGTGCCCGCCTTGTCTGTTCCGTTCATGGAGAATTGGTACCAGCCAGCGAAGTTGACGCCAAAGTCAAAGAGATAGCCACATGATCTCTGAAAGGGTGTTATAGGTCAGTCAAGTCTCAACTCGGGTTAGATGAAATGGACCAGTGCTAACCTGTGTTATCAACTTTGCTGTGATCGTCTCAGTGACCTTGAGCTGCGGCGCGGTGGAGCTGTACAGCTTTCCAGCACCCCCTATCGGACCGGTGGAAATATTGGCAGGTTTCCAATCTGAACAGTCACCCTGAGAACTTGACCAGTTGGGGATGCTTTTCCTGGCGTCAAATTCCTCTCCACCATTCCACGCAGCTTCGAGAAGCGGACCATTGGTGGTAGTGATCCATGTACCATCTGAAACAACAGAGTTGCTGACACCATCGCACGTGTATTCGAGCTGAGATTTGAGGATGGGCGGCTTGGTCGACGTCGTGAACTTTCGGCTGAAGACAATAGGTTATTGATAGTCCTCGTTAGAATGAAGGAAAAATGAATCACCCTGCACTTACTAGCGGTTTAGCAGAGGCTTGTCTGAGTTATATATGCCCTTGCCAATCGAAACACCAATCACATTGTCGCCCTCAGTAAGAAGGTCGGTGACATCGTAGGCGCGGTACAACACGGTACGGTTGATGGTAGAATATCCGGGGCCGAGGACTTCGTCGGACACTGACTTGCCGTTGAGTTCGGCGTAGAATACGCCTAGTCCGGTTATGTAGAGGCGTGCTTTGGCGACGGTGCAATTGACCTTGAACTCGCTGGCAAAGAGAGGCAGGGAGTTGACGCCCGTGGCAAACTAATTGTTCTCAATCCACTGCGCAGTCCAGTCGCTCTCTTCCAGTAACCCAAGCTCGAAGGTGGAAGGCTCACTCCATGATGACGCAACATCATCCGCGTCCCAGGCTCGAACACGCCAGTATACTTGGTCCCGGGAACTGAGAGTGCTTCCGTTCCAAGACGCAAAAGCTTGCCTATCGCTCAGTTTTCCAGTATCCCACAAGTCGGGCGCATCGAAACCATCGGAGCTCGAGGCCGCCTGAAGCTGGTAGGATGTCTGATTGTCGCCGCGGCGGTCAGATTGGAGGCGCCAAGACAACAGCGGATTGGTCGCATGGATGCCCAGCGGCGCTGTCACGCCTTCTGTACGAAGCGACTCAGGCTCAATGGATATGGCGGAGACTACGGCGACCAACTCCAGGGAAAGAAGTGCAGGAAGCCGCATACTCAACACCGTCATGATGTTGATATCGTTGATGCGTGAGGAGGGAAATCGCTCTACACGATTGGAGAAGATCAGATACAGAGAGAGTGATCAGCAACCGGGGACTCAAGTTGCGTCCTCCTATCATTTAATACGCATTGGCGATATCAACTGGCGTGCCTGGCGGTAGATCTGTATCCATTCCATTTGGGTATTTTGTCGACGATCTGGTCGGTTGGAGCTATCCGCATCCCGATTGGGATAGCTAATCCCCGCCTCTCGGTATAGTTATCGGCGAACTTAGCCGCGGCTCTCTCCTTGACTTGCAATATTTGAATATTAGTTGCGGATAGCAACACATTGGTATCTAAGTTCCAAGTTTAGAGGATTTGCAGGGTCTCAAATTCACAGCCCTCAATGTCACATATTGAAATTTGAAGTTGGCCTGCGTGATCAGTTATCGTGTATGTTTTCTCATGCAAATGTAGATTTCGTTCTTTGATTTGTCTTAAGTGTAAAAATTGGCTCAGCTTGAAGCGCATTGTCAATCTCCTCCTCGTGTGGTTGTTACTTGCATTCGTAGCCAATACCATAAGCATCCAATCTCGGCGCTAATAAACCCCCCTCTAGGCTGTCCCATAGTCATCATGTCTCCAACTCGTATTTGACTTGCAATTATGTTATTGAATTGTCTGGCTCAAACCACAGCAGCAATCGTATTGTCCTTGAATCGGTCGGCCTCGCGCTTCAGCATAAGGATGCAGCTGGCGACAATGAAGGCCTCGGCGTCCTTAGTTGTCGTTTTCTTATCGTCCGTCCACATCTCAAGGTTCATGATCAAGCGGCCGCCATTGCCACCCATCCAGCGACTGGTGCCGGGAGTACGAAGATCCGCGTTGCGCACAAGCTGAGCTATTGGCACGCCGTGCTTGCCCACCTTGCCATTGCTGGCCAACGCTGGGGCGGCGTCGTCGGTCCGTTCCAAGACTAGAAGTGAGGATGCCTCAGAGGCTTCTTTGCGCTCGTCGCGCCCACCATAGCGCCACTCGAAGGTGCCGAACGACGTCTTCAGTTCCTGCGTACGCGACATCATGTTGCGACTTTTGACCTCAACTACCTCGCACACGAGCTGGTCTAATTCAATTGCCTCTTCCACGGTGGCAGCAGCTCCCGGGGACAGGATCCTCATCCTGGGACGGCGGCCCGGACCCCAACGGTAAATCGTTGATATCAAAGGTGTCTGGCTAGAGTCGGACCCGCGGACGAGCGCGCAGGAGTTGGAGTTCTTCTTGAGGCGGATGGATGTGTACTCTAGCTCGCCAGAGCTAACACGGTAGACGGAGATGTTTTCCAGCACATTGCCCGTGAGGGCCTGGCTCGTGTCGTAGCCAATGGCCTGTATGTCAAGTTGGCTGATGATACCGCTATCGCTGGGTGATACGAAAGTTCCCGAGGCGAGGGACTCCTTATAACCAGGAGGCGCGTCACCGTAGTCGGAGTTCCCAGACGACACTGAGCTCATGATTGACATCGTACAAAGATGATGGGAATAGCACGCCTCAACTGCCGTACTTTGATTTAATAAGTTGTTTGACGTTTCCCAGGAAGAAATTGAGCGCGTTTATCGCCTAACGTTGAGCGAATTTGAAGCGGTGGTGTTCTTGTTGAAGTGACCCCAACTAGATGGATGTGAATTTGAAGGTCGCTTGGCAAGAATTATATAGCAGGTTTAGGCGTCAGTGACGTTCCCAGTGACAGGATGAGGCTATTCCCAGTTTGGCAAATACGCTGGTGGCGCCAAACGCCACCAGTCACTAATCCTTAAAGAGATATACAGAGTCACTCGGTGGGTGAGACAGCGGCAACCGCCTATTGGCGACCACTACACGTCGCAGTAAGTGCAAAAATGAGGTCGGTGGCGCAGGGATTGAAAATCTAAGCCGACGTCAGACCCTGACTTAGTCGTTGACCGTCCCTTTGCCAGTCTGGGTGCCACGTGCATGGGCTACTAATACTGCGTGCTATCTGACCTTCGCAGATCTGCCTATGTAGGAATGCACCACCGGCGCGCCTGCACAGAATTGCAGGCTTAGCATGCGCTGCGGCAGGGCGTTTTTTACTAGCGTCTGCTGGCACTCAGCAGTGGAAGCCGCCTGCGACAGTCATTAGGTACTGCGTGATGCATATCAAACTTGTCCAGGATTCTTCAGGGCGATTCTTCAGACGCCTCGCCGGCTACGCCTGCAATTTACCAGAAACTCCAACTTCCAACCTCGGGAACTGCGGAATATCCTTCGCAGCTATGCGTTGACATCATTGATGCGTATGCTGCCTTTGTCTATTTCGCTGCAAAGCTTCCGTCACGAATTTCGTCATCTAAAAAGCGGACTTGAGTTGCATGATACCATATGAGAGAGACTCGCTATGTACAGCGAATCAAATGATTACGATTTCACTTATTTCCGCGATATCAGAATAGGTTTCTTCATCGCCCTTCAAGTCAATATCTGAAATGCCGATACGCTTATAATAACCCTCATTCTCACTTAAGCATTTGCTGACGACAAGAATATGATGAAAGGTCATGTCGTCGTTAGTCCCGAGGAGCAAACACTCAACCATGTCCCCTTCCTGCACTAGATCATTCGGCGACATAGGGCAGTCCAGATCCAACAAATATGAATTGGAATCTGACGACTCCTGGAGGTGTGGAGCCATCTGAACGTAGAATTCCGTGTCAGACCTCAGTTCAGACTCAAACTCGTACGAGGAGACAATCTTTTGAACTTTAGCTGAGATTGTTGGGCCATGGAAAATTATTTCCAATTGATTTCCCTTCGTTGGCAAATGTGACCCGGAAACATAAGTAACCGAAGTTCTTGGGTCTTGCCGGAAACCACTGGAAAGAACAGAGGCATAGCCGATGAGACAGCTGCCGTCAGGGCGGCGTCTTGACATCCGAGACCACGTCGGAGCATCGCTTGATCGGAAGGCGGTCGAGTCGGATCTGGGAGCCCCTCCCCACAGAAGAGCCCGCGGAAGGTCTTCAATCCACATGCCTCTCACATACGTCCCATTTGTTACTCTTTGTACGGCATTGACGAGTCCCGTGAAAGCAGCCAGTCGATCAGACGGCTTACTCAAGTGTAGATCAGAATACTGGCCGGATATCATAAGCCAGAAATCATGGGTATTCTGCAACGGCGATCTTTTGTCTCGAATTGAAGTAAAAGCTTGCTTCCTATGAATTTGATCCAAGAACAATCCCTGGGAAGATGACGGGATCGCCTCGGTGGATACATGTGAGCTTTTCGAGTAGAGGGCTCCACATTCGCAAGTTGTTAGAGTCTTGCATTCCCAGATGAGCTCTGAAGCACAAACATGCAGAGTCCGTCGTGCAAGCATGAGCTCTTGAAAGACCCAGGCCCGCTGCAGCAATGGAGCTTGAAGCCAACGAGAACGTAGAATGTCTCCCGTAATGTACCCGTGGTCTCTTCTGTGGGCCGGTCTGACAAAGACTGCGTGACCCGGAACTGAAGGATTATTGACTTCGTAAACCAGCAGAGGGTAACGAGCAAGGTCACCGCCAGTGCCAAGGGTCCACCGCTCCTTGAACAATCCTTGGTGACTATTTGCAGAAGACGTGGCCGCGATGTTGAAGTGGGCATTAGTGTATATTTCCGCCATCTTTTGAGACTGTGTCGTCCAGTCAGAATTGTCGTCCTGGACAATGCAAAGTGAATCGATCCAAATGTAGTCGCATCCAACTTCCTTACGCAGTTGAATCGCGTCCTTGAAAAGATTCGTGAGATCGTCAGATGCAATGCCCATTTTTCGAGAATTCAATGTGCCCTTCGTCGTCGTTGTCGGTTTCGATGCGTCAGAACTACCCCAGCAATGGCTCAATGTGGCATATTTTCCGTACGGCGCGTTAGTCTCCAGAAACTCCAAAAGTCTTGCAGTGGACCCAGAGACGTCAAGGACTCTTGTTGGTAGCTTTGTTGGGGCTGTCAAGCAAGACGCATGTGTGTCTTCACAGGACTGCAGCCAGGATCGCAACTGATACGCTGCTGTATCCTTGGAAAGAAATCGTGGTAAATTGTGCGAGCATCCAAATGCTGGATTAAGAGGGCCATCGCCTAGAAAACACGACTTAGAATCATATACCTCCGAATCCCATATTGACTTACCACATTGACTGAAAAACTCAATTCGAAGATGGACTTCGCCAAGACTTCCCGCTGGATATGCTTCTGAGGATCGAAAGGCAACAAGACTACTTCCTTTCCGAGTCTCCAAAACCAGCAAAGCTCTGTTATTGTCACTGAAACTATCTCCGGTCCATTCTTCAGGGTTACTGCCCCAGAACAGACTGGTTCCTCGCTTGAGAACGAAGCAGCTTTGAAGGCCGACACTGCGGCAGCTCGCAGGTCCTTGAACTTGATAGCTCTATATCGAACCTGAGAGTCTGCATTGCTTCGTTTTTTGTCAAACTCAAGTTGAGAGTCAAAGAGATCATACGTGAGATCGAGACAAACGGGACATGGCCTTTGGCTCATTTTGATAAAACACAGTATTAACAGGACTGCAAGGAACAGATCGTAAGGTTGCTCGTGTAGAAATCTGAGGCAGGCTAAAAAGCCGAGGTGAGTGGCTGCATCTATTTATGTGGAGGGCCACGCGCAAGAATTCGTTGTGGAAATAAGGCGGGGGTAATGGTGCATAACTACCCCCATTCAGCCGGCGGTAATTGAGGGGCTTTGACCGACGTGGATTTAAGGCAGCTGGCGAACTGCAGATGACTATCGCAGCTAGACCAATTGAGTTGAGTATTTCCAGTCTACCAAGAGTTGGTCCCTCAAACACGCCGCCCGAGCCAGTCATCATGGCAGCAACAGTGGATCAATTCAAATATGTAACATGACAGAGCCCGTGGAATGGTGCCAAGAAATCCATCGGTGCCTGCAGGCGCGCGGGACTACAAGTTGCATCTGCTTATTTGAACATGGATGCATTTGACGCATAGACACCCGAGTAAATAGCCCAACAGGAAAGACCAAGAGCCTCAAATAAGTCATGAAACGCAGTTACTTGAATAATCAGCACGCTTCCGTCCCGATTTCCATGTAACAACATTGTAACTGACGCCATACTATTCAGAATTACTGTGATTAGAAGATTCTCGAACAATACGCACAGGTCAGTCCTATTTTCACCCTGAGTGCCCGAAGTTTCCTTATCCGCCTTAATATCGCAGAAAGATCAACTGCTTGTCAGCTGGGCCCCGTCTTCGTTTGGGAAGCAAACTTCGTGAAAAGGATTCCAACCACAGCAAGGAACACTATCACTGGATCTTTTCTTGTTAACCCGGTGTTCACGTTCAAATACAAAATCGCGTCCAGTAGCTTTGCACGGCATCAACGTAATCGCGTAGTACAGTATCATCACAATACTAACAGATGAGAGCCTTGCTTCATTGTTTAGACTACATGAGTCAAAGCTAGGGGTCTTAATGAAGACACAACATTAAGATCAGGATTGAAACGAAATTGGGCCTACTGAGGAAGTAACGTTCATTTATCTTGTAATAACCAACCTCCACTCGTGGTTATCATTAAATATTACTTAATATCTATTTGCTGCCTCCTCCTTAGTTGTCAAGGATTCTCAAGGAAAGCCAAATGTTGTTGCGCCGACAACTGACTACCCCAGTTCAACAGGGTGACGACAGGAGAGCTCCTATTCTCGGTCTATAACTGAGGAGTGTCTGGGAGCAGTCATGACAAGTCGTTTGCTTCTCTTATTACTCATTTCAGCTGCCATAAGCTCTTACATGTGATGCTGGCTGTAAGCATTTGCCAAATACCTCCAAGCCTTCTCCTCGCCACGGCTGATGTTTCGCTCTGAAAGACGGCTTCAGGTCACAAGAGATGGCCGAGGAAACCAGCCAGGAAGACTTGCGGTCGGGTCCAGGGCAGAGTTACTGGCCTTGATCATGTCACTGAGGGCACGCCCGCTCGGCCAGGCAGAGCACATTCCGTCTCGGTCAAAAGCCGCCGACACCCACTCTCTTCTCAACGGAGCATTCTTGACGGGCCTCGTGGCCGCAGTCTCCCGCAGGTGTCCTGCAAACGGGCGCAAATCAGATGAACCCTTCTCGAACCCAATCAAAACACACGGTTTGTTCGACATCGCCAAATGTAGGCAATAGAGGTTTCTGGGAAGTCTGGCCTTCCAGAACCACACGTATCATATCCGAAGTGGTTGGGCAGAGCACCATTTATGTACAAAACAACAGCGTGGTTTGGAGGGCGTCTGTTGCTGGGAAAGATGATGCTGGACTCGTCGCCCTCAATGCCGCCTCCGAATATTAGCTCCCCATTACGGTAGCTCCCCATTACGGGGCATCCGAAGTCATTACGAAATTGGTACCATGCGCCACCCCAGGGGAGACTGCCACTTCTAAGGCAGTGTAACATAGCTAGCTTCCAGTCTTAGGAAGATCTCTTCTATAGAGCTTAG